AGAACATCTAATTTTGGCAACAGAGTACCTTCTCTGAAATACTTAAGACCAAGTAAGCAGTCAGGGTACAGTACTCTGAGGCTGCAAGACTTTTTCTTTGATCTCACAAAAAGACAATGGGAAAGAGAGGGAATTTTCCTCTCTGTGGGCCTTCAAGGAAATCAACTGGCCACACAGTGGTTTTTTGGTTGTTTGTACTAGGACAGGTGTTACCAGAGAGCCCTCATGAGGGTCCAGCAGAATCTGCTGACCCACGCAAAGTTGTCCCATTCCGAAAGGGAAATTTCTAATATAATTTGTCCTGCTTTGTATGGGTGACATTAAAGTGGGTTGTCCTCAATAGTTGTGAATCCTGCTGGAAACCCTCACCCCAGGGAGGGCAGAGATGGCAGCCTGCTGGCCATAGCAGAGGGGCAGCCTGGCCAGTGCCCAGCGGTGCTCAGAATCCCTGCACTGAGCACCTCCAGCACAGACGGCATGGAAGGCCACCTGCCTGTACTAGGTGGCTCCTGCCAAGCATCCTCCTCTGTCTTCAGAACTCCTCAGGAGACAATTTATTCCTAAACACTATAGTATACTTCTATGTCCCATGTACAGCATTTAAATATATTGTATAATTTTAACTATTTCTATATAGCATATATAAAGCCTTGTCTTTATGAGACACAGTGCCAACAGATAAGAGATGACAAGGTGAACCTCTAAGTGTAGTTTTTCTGCCTGGAAACTCAGAGCAGATGACAAGTGCTCTCTGCTCCTTCTGTTCCTCATCTGTAACACCCCTCCTCCCTTCAGTAGACTCTCAGAGCCTACAGATGAAGTTACCTCCCTAAAAATCATCCTGAGGCAATACTCTTTGACGTACTAACAACTGTGTTGTTCATCTTAATTTGCTCACTAAATTACCTTTGTTTAATCAAAAAGCTCCTCATAGTGCCTTACATGGTCCCTTAAGACTGTTTCATTGCATTCGTTCCTATTTTTAATAGAATCACTCTCTTAGTCCTCTTGTTTAGTAATTAAATATAGAATGGTATTGAACCTACCTTAGTTTTGGTAGGCAGTTTCCCATCCTTCCACTGGATCTCTACACCCTTGGGTAGTCAATTTTGGCTTGGTTTCCCTGCTGCCTGAATTGTTTTCTGTACCGGCTGTGCTATGGAGTGAAACTCAGTTACAAAAAAGGCTCATGATCTCTCGCATTGTAAGTGTATGCAGCACCCAGTCATTGTTCACCTAAAAAAAAACCCACCCAAAGCCTCCACGGCAGACAAGAACTGACAAGTGGGGGTGGGAGAGGAAGAGGGGAGGAATGGATGAGTGATGTGGCTTCCTGTGGTGCCAGGACCAGCAAGGGCGTGCTGGTGCTGGTGACCTCCATGAAGGGGCTGGTGGGTTGCAGCGTGGACTCCCTCTAGGATCCCTTGAGTGAAATAGCAACTTGGGATGTTCTTGGCAAGAGGAAACCACACGCCTGGCCATCTCGCTTTTCTGAGAAATGATGTGAGAAACTGAGTGGTAACAAACAAACCCTTCAAACCCCAACAAAGCACATCCTTTGCTACTGAAGCTTTCCAGTGCAATCTGGTTTTGCCTATCCTTTTTGTGGTTTTTGTCCCTTTTACTTCCTCCTGAGCTACAAGAAAGAGGAAAAATAGAAGAACCAGCAATACAATTTGGAAGGCTGATGATTCAGGGAGTAAGTATATTTTAATTCACGCACTAATTGTGGTACATTGCTGGAAAAGAAAAATAAAAAGAACTCTGTGAGACTTCAGATACCTGCAGCAATTTCATCAAAACACAGAGGTGAGAAGCGACAGGCGGTTAACTGGACAGTTTCTAAACACGTGCCATCCCCCAGTAACATGTGATTTTGCAGATAGATGTAGCCCACCAGAAGCTAGGTCTCAGCTAAGCAGCCCCCTGCCTTTGTTCCTCTTTTGCACTTGCTAGGCAGTCCCACACCAGATTTCAGCTGTAATTTGCAGTCCTTCACTGCAGCTAATGGCAATGTGGTAGCAAAGAAGGGAGCCCAATTTAGGAAGAGACCACAGATAAGTCAAACATGACCAAGGATAAACAGCTGCGGCTGTGTACAAACTACCCTTGTGCCATCTCATCTAAAATTTGTGCACAAATGTGTCACTGTTTGCAGCCCTGCCTGAATGAGCATCACCTGGTCCTGCAGCATCCCTCAGCCACTGGCTGCGGGTCCTGCCACAGCCTGCCCTGGTGCAGTGACACAGGCTGGATCATGCATCAGTAGATGCAGCTACTGTCTTTACCCCAGTGTACTGCGGCTCTCCAAATCCAGCCGCGATGCATGTATGTCCTTTTTTTGACTTACTGGAAATTAGAGAGACCATCCTAGTGCAGCAAAAGGGAAAGGAAGAATGTGAATCATTGTGCTTTTCAAGCAGCGGTGGAAGATTTATCTTCTGCCTAATTTATTCCCAAGCTTTCACCATACTTTGGAAAGTGCAACTGAAGCAGGACATCATGGGATCTGAGTGACAAGTAAGGATGAGGTGTGTAATCCACCAAAGGTCTGTGCAAAGACAAACAGATCAAGAAATGTCTGAATAAACAGACTTAAAGATAGACACACAAAACTGAAATAAGTGGTGGGGTTAATGAGTGGACCTTACTTTCCTGCCTACCTTATGTTTAAAGTAATGAATTAACTGCTGATGTTGGCTGATCCCTGTAAGAAGGGAATGTCAGAAAGAGATGCTGCAGCAGTCAGATGTGCATGCAGACCCACACGCATGTGGGCTGGGAGGTGGGTCCCCACATGCCTGGGTTCTCTGCAGTGTCAGGAGCTGTTAGGGGAGAGGCAGAGCCTGGAAGGAGCAACCAGCATATGTGGCTCTCTATCACCAGGTAGGGAATGCAGTAAGAAATTGAAAATCATCGTGTTTTTCCAGTTGAAATAGCCATGTCTACCTTTTGTATGGCTGTTGTTAAAATTGAAGATTTGGTCTTTATTGAAAAGTGTTTGCTGTAGCAGCACCCAGGTTTCCAGAGTTGTTTGAAAAGGCTTTTGGAACATGGCAGTGTTTGTGGTAGAAAATACAATGGTTAAAGCTGACAAGAACTTTTCCTATGAACAGAAAAATACATCAACTGGCTTGCACTTCTTTTTTTAAATCAAGTGCAGCTCCTTTTGTGATCACTAAGTGGTGAAGTTCAGCTACGAGGACTTCAGTAAAAGTGTCTGCAAGCTTGTGAAAAGTTCTTCCTTTAAAGTTTTGTTTCATGATTGTAACAGAGCTAAGGCGAGGACACCAACAAAGCCTGGAATGAATCTCTGCATCCCTGCATAAGTCACACCCTGCTAGGAGGCTTTGGTGCAAAAGGACATATTTCTGGCAAATCCTCAATGTTGTTTTCAGTTTTGAAAGTTCTGAGAGGCTGACAATCAGAAATTAAATATTTGTTTGTGAATCTCTATTTCAAGGCTGGCAGTTTTCCCTTCTGACTTGGTCCAAGGCTTTGTTCCATGGTCTGTTGGAGCTGTTTACATCACTTAATGGATGTAAAATGGTCTGGCAAACCTCCCAAGAACTGTTTTTCATTGATTTCACGTTTTGGTCAGGCCAGAATGCCCTTCTGGAAATCTTGCAGGAAAACACAACTATGAAAATAACTCAAGGAAAAGAAAATGAGATGTGATACCTCAAAGGAAGAAGACAATAGGGTGAAGCACTCGCAGTTTGCAGGGTGACGGGAATGAGTTATTGAACATATCCAAAAGCACATCCAAAATGTTTCTTTAGAGGAATACTGATACTTGAGATGTTTCTATTTTCAGATACTTAATTACCACTTGGGAGGAGAGAAGGAACAGTGTATGTGAGAGCATGTCTGAGAATTTTTTTTTTTTGTCACGTTATATTTTGGACCTGTTGGCTTTCCTCAAGCAATTTGCATGATTCAAGGTCAGACTGTGTGGCAACTCAACTAAAAGAAAACATTTTTAATGCAATCACAGTCATTTAGAGTCGTAAGAATTTGCAAAAATATAAGCCACCTAATCAGAAAGCAGAAACATGAAACACGGTTTACCAGTACAATTTTTGATTAGCAAATGAGGTCTCACTGGCTGGTTGCCCCACCATGTGGTGCATGAGTGACCCACAGGCTGAGGATTTTATTGGTTTCAGCAACGTGACTTCAGCTGACAGAAAAAAAGAAACATAGGTGTAAAGATGACAAAGCAAAAAGGCATAAACCAATGACTCAAAACAGCTGTGTGAGCTATTTTTACATCATCTCAGATGAGGGAAGAGAGGAAGGGGTATGCTTGTGGGACAGCGGCTGTGTCTCTCCCAGGAACAGGGCTAGGGAAGGAGCATGGACCTTCAGAGACAGGGATAGCCTCAATGGAGGAGAGGGGAGACCAAGGCTCTACTTTTTCGCCTAGGTGACATACGACCTAGGCCATGGATTGGGCACTTGGTTTGCTCTGGTCTCCTTACCTGGAAAAAGAGTTGCACTGCAGCAGCAGCTCCTGGCCCTCCACTGATTTACACGTGGGGTGCAGACCCCTAACTGGATCTTCTGAGTTGCATGTTGGGGACATTTGTACTACTCATTGCAGCTTAGGTCAGGGCCAGGGTAGCCTTTCCGCCTGCCCACTGAAGACGTTGGGTGGTCATCCAGCTTAGGAATCTGGGCTTGTTTTTAGGCACTTGCAAAACCCTAGCTTTATGGTAAAGGCGCTTGTGAAAAACCCAGCCTTGTAACTTGTTACCCCTGTCCTTCTAGCAGCCTGGCTGGGAAGTCATCAGTTTCTGGCTCTGACATTCGTTGTCATGCCCCTTGAAATTTTTGTTATTCGGCTGAGTGACAGAGGAGCAGGAGGTTTTTTACAAAGTGCCTCTTACCGTATGTGCAGGGAGGGGGAATGTCCCTAGAGTAAGAGCGAAGTGTATAAAAAAGGGGAAGCCACACTCAATGGTTCAGTCACTCATCTCACTGAGCACACAGCTAAGATGATTGTTGCTTATCTTCTTCTCTCCAGCATCTGGAACATTGCATCAGGTAACTCCCTTGTCTGTCTGTCTGTCTGTCTGTATTGTTATTGTTGGGGACCTTGGTGGCCCTGCCAGGCTGCTGCTGGGTGCTACAGTCCCCATGCGGCATCCACCTGGGGCAAGCCCAGTGGTGACAGGACACTTGTGACACTCTGTGTGACCGCACTGCTTGCGCGGGGCTTCTGATATGTTGGTTGCGTTGACAGCATCCTCTCTTTAATCTACCACCAGTGCATTTATAAGCTGCAGAGAGACATACGAATTTATTGCAATTTGCAAATCACAAACCAGATAAATGTCCAAACACTCACAATGACCCGTATGACTGAAGTTTGATTTCAGCTCCTGTTATGGCTAGGATTTGGGTCAGAGTATGCCGCTGATTTGCTGTATCCAGGATAGAATTATTTGTAGTGGTGGACATGGTGCTTGTAGGTATCTGCTCAGGTTACCAAAAGCACGCGTGTGTTACATTTGGTTTTGTAATTAAAAATAATGTAGAAAAGCCTGAATTTGTTCATTCAACAAATGACTTCCATTGTCATGGTTTGTATTCTGCCTATGGCACTACTGAGCTCTGAAAAGCAAAACGACTGACACAGCTTCACAGCTGGCTTCTTGGTCTCCAGCAGAGAGCTACCTGGGCATGGCCACAGCCATGGAGGGGGCAGAACCTGAGATCTTTGTCAGACAGATTAGCCAAGTGTAGCTTTGGGGACTGCAAACAGCCTCGATCTGTTTAAAACCTGCAAATATATTTCCCTTTCTTGTAAATGGAACTATATATTTTCAGTGCTGTAACTGTCCCTGCTGATACCTCCCTTCCCATGCTGCTGTACACAAATAAATTTTAAAATCTGTTATCCTAAGAGGACTGTGGAGCTGAGCTGTCAAACCTGGGAGCAGTCATTTTGCTTGCATGTCATCTTAATAGTTTTTCCACATGTGTCTGTGAATTGGAAGAGGAGATTAATTTGTTTTTTCTCTTTTCCCTGGAGACCTTTAATACCATGGCACTTATGCTATGAAAATTTCCCATTCATGGACTTTTAGCAGGGTCTCAGCTGCTTCTTAGTCAAACCTGAGACAAGAGGACAGAGGCAGTTTGCCTCTGGTCCTCCCTAACTTGCTTTTTCCTTCTGGTTTTCTGTTCTCTTGTCAGTCTCTAACAAGTGTGGACGCACTGTGTATGGTGATACACGTAATAATTTTTAGCAGCTTCACTGATTTGCATCTCTCTGTGCTGCAGGAGGGCTTGGAGAGAGGTAGTGCACCGACAGCCATTTGGTTGTTACTGCAGCTGAATGTTTAGGGAACCTTTCCACGGGTCCACGTGGGATAAGTTTTATCAGACAGAAATCAGTCACTCCTGACATCAGAGCCGCCTTTCTCAGTGGCGTGCTCTGCAGCACAGGTATCAGGCTGGTGCGATGCTTTGTGTGAGAAGTGTCAGGTCCAGCAAAACTCTTGGGGCAGTTCTTTCGAGCTGTGTTTTCATTTTTTTCCTGGATGGAGGAGCAGAGACACCCTCCAGAGTTGCTCTGTTCAGCAGTCAGGGCGAGGGGCTGGAGGGTCCTCTGCTGTGGACGGGTTGCAGAAGTGTGTTGAGAAATGTTGACTGTGGCGCCTGCTTCTCTCCCAGGTTCTGTGCAGGTGATGCACAAAAAGGTCCAGTCAGTCCAGGCAGGAGGAAATGTTACTTTTTCATGCCAGTTGGTCACGAAAGAAGATGTGCTACAGGTCACCTGGCAGAAGGAGACAGATGGGGCTGAAGACAACATAGCGACTTACAGTACAATGAATGGCCAAAAGATAGCGAAAGGCTATCTCGGCCATGTGAGCTTTGCCCACAGTGAGTTACAGGTCTCTGCCATCTCCCTTGGTGGAGTCACCCTCCAAGATGAAGGATGCTACAAGTGCATATTCAACACATTTCCCTCAGGGGCTGTCACTGGCAGGATGTGTCTCAAGGTTTACGGTAAGGCATTATTATTGCATATAGACTGTCATCTGAGGACTAAGTTGTTTTCCCCATGAAAAATGACCACTGGTCATTGCTAAATTGTGGTGGGAAAGGTGGCTCAGCTTCCTCTCTGGCTCTCCCTCCCTCTCTGGTTTTACCACTGATGGGAAACCAACTTTCAACAGTTCTTTAATTTTCTTCCCCTTTAAGTCAACACCAGCGAGATCCAAAAGCTGATGTGTAACCCACAACTTCCTCCGAGTTTCCCTGTCTGTGTGCTGTGCTGAGAGCTGGCCTTCCACATCTATGAACCCCATGCTCCTCTGCTTCCTTTCACTGCTGCTCTTGCCTCCTCAGCCTGGAAATCTCTGCCTTTGATCTTAAAAAAAATCAAGGTATTCGAAAGGAAGAGAGGCATATGCATGACCAGAGTATCTGGAAGATGATTTTGAAGCTATAGTAAAAATGACAATAGTTAAGCTGGGCTCAGGAAAGGATTGCAAAAAAAAAAGGCTGAAATACAGCGCAGCTCGTGGCCTTTGCCACATTAATATCTTGTGCATGTCAACATCAATCAGCTTCAAGAAGAGAGTTAAAACATATCATGACTCAAGGTGTCAATATTTGACACCTCCATACAGAATCATCAGCTAGCAAGTACAAGCTGAAATATAGACAAATAGATGAACTCAAAAGGAACAACAGTGAAAAGCTCTTTATGTTTCAAGTGTCTTGATTCCCTGCCAGCGAGAAAGCTGAGACATTAGACGCGCCCTGAGGACATCCTGTTGGCTCCTGACTTTCTCATGGGTTACTCTGCTGTGGGAGCGTGGCCAAAGCTCATGTCCCATGCGAAAAATATCAGTGCCTGGGACCTGCTGCTGGTGGTATGATCCCTGAAGAGTATTTTGTTTACCCTTGGTACCTTCTGCTGACAAAGACACGGACACATATGCCCACAGAAATACTCATGTGCCAGGAGTCCTCTGTGTGGAAGAAAAGATGCCCCTGGCTTATAGAGGAAAGATGACTTAAGCAATAAGGGAAGGGGGAGCAGTGGGAATACAGGGGAAAACCAAGCCTGGAAGAAAAGTTCTTTTTTTCCTCTTGGGCAAGCTCGTACAGCAGAAAAGAGAAATTAGGATAAATTCACTCAATATTTCACATATGAACAGGAAGGTGTTCCTAAAGATACCCAGCCCTGAGTCATTCAGAGGGTAAACACTGATTATATATTACAGGAAAATATGGAAGTGCCTCGCAGAGAGATCCCCTTCTTGTTTATCCTGTAAATATGTAGTTAGATTTGTTTTGTTTGTTTTTTTATCCAAGTGGGGGAAATATTTCCCAAAATCATCAGCCTTGTGGCTATGATTCATTCTTCAGCAGAGCACTACTTTAAAAAAAAATGTTTTTCTGCTGCTACACACACTCCTGTGAGCACCTCCTCCTGCGTCTCAGATGAAAACGCATCAACTGAGAAGAGTTTCACTTCTCTCATGGACAAGCATTAGGCTGCTGCTCCTGCTAGACCAGGGCAGGCTCATGGGCCACTGCCAGGGGATGGCTTGTAAGGGTCACAGTTGCGTCCCTGAAACGTGCTTTATTGAACATGTCCTAGAGGGTCACCATGAATAAACTTGAGTATTTGCTACTGTGACAGAAGATTTTAGTTCACATATTATGTATTTCATTGAAGCTAATTTGTGCAATGTTACTTAAAAGCCACAGCCTTATTCCCTTATTCCCCAACTCGTAAAGATGGGAACAACTTGTCTGAACAAGCCCAGAGGACTCCCTGGGATGGAGTGTGAAGCCAGCAGGACTCTCCCACGGCTCAGGTATTCAGGGCAAGGCAAGCAAGCCAGAGTCATCAGCTGAAAATGAAACGCTGCCATGTTTTTGCCCTCAAGAGGGGACTGCCAGGGAGTTTACAAGCTGGTGATTGCCCAGTTACAACAGCCTTCACAAAAGGGGCTGTTCCAGGATGGGCACTGTCGCTGTGTGGCAAGGGGAAGTGAAACCATGTAAGAACTCTACAAAACTGTGAAAAAAGAAACAGGTATGTCTGGAGGAATCTCAGACCGGCCTGGTTGAACACAGCAAACCCAAGAAGAAGCAGAAATTTCCTAGCCTGTAGCAAAACCCGTTTCAGAACAGAATAGTTTCAAGTGTGCTTGGCTGGTGTCTTTTGAACAGTCTTCTGTTTTCCTTCAAAAATATTTTGCTGACTTTCACCTCCAGAGAGGACAAGAATGAAACCCAGGAATGGGATCAAGTGAGCAGGTACAGAGAGAGGGGTACGTTCCACACGAGAACAGGCAAGACTTGCAGGGTCACAAAATTCTCTGGGCATTTGCTGGGACATCTTTGGAGACCTTCTGCCTTCATTGTAGGTGTCACCATTCTCCTGGAAATCTCGAGCACAGTTGAGCGATAGCATTGTTATTTCTTAAACAGGGAAACCAAAGCACAGGGTTGCTGGTGAACACCTATATGGTTGGAAAAAGCTTTCTGTCATCATGAGGCATACAGTAATTCCTAATTTTTTTTTTATCAGTCTCTCCGAGACCCCTGTCAAGCATTTAAACATAAAAAGCTCCTCACGACCTGATAGTCCCCCTTTAACTACAGAAGGCCATTAGAGATAATCAAAGCTGATGTACTTCACTAGAAAGTTCGTTTTTCAAATACTTGGGAACGCTGCCACAGCTCCAATTCAGGAACATTTGCGTTACTGCTCTGCAAAAGTTACTAAAGCAAGCACTTGCATGCCACATCTCTTGTGGGCAATTTTTCACTAGAAACAAATACTTTGATGAAAGGCAAAAGAAGCAGCTATTTCAAGTGTATGCAGCAAACATCAACAGCAGGCATACGCTAACAAAGAGTCTAGCTTCTAGTCTAGGACTTTACTGCAAAAGGAAGCACTTACAGGTTTTGACCGTGCATCTATTACAGACACTTGCTAAGGGGGAGCTCAACCATGCAGGATTTTTTTCACTTGATAATCATTCCTTGGGGTGCGATGTGAGGACAGAGGACTGCTTAGTCAGAAGAAGAGCAGATGTGAAGTGCATGTGTTTCTGCCAAGATACTCAATGTTTTTTCTCATCTCCTCTAGAAATATCTGTGACAGCTTTCCTTTATTGTTTTTGGATGTTGCAACCTAATATTTGAAATTAATGCTGTGGGTGGATGTGTTATTTTTATGCATCCAGTGAGAGAAAGAAGAAGCTCAGAGATCATTTATTAATCAAAACATAAACTGTTTGTGACACTTGTCTTTTCATACATGGGAGATTTTGAGAAGTTCCAGCTGAAATCCCCCTACACACTTTTCTTGTTGCTCTCAGAGCAACACTAGCGGGTTTCATCAACTCTGTTTCTTGTGTTTCTGTCTATGGATGATGCAAAAAATGAGAAATACCTATTTTTTTTTTTCTAGGAAGGCATAACCATAGTAAATAAAAGAAATCTAGAAAAAAAAAAAAAAAAGTCTTGCTCCCACCCTCTGGCAGTTATGGCTTGGAGGTCCAGACAACATCATGAGGTGCATCTGGAATTGTGCTAGGAGGTTATAAGCACCATTATGCATGTGGCAAAAGCCTTTTCCCCCTTTCACAGGGTCTTTCAGTGTCTGGTACACTTCATTCATACCCAAATGTTCGTTTACCTCCCAAAAGGAAAAAGAATAATTTTTTCCTAAGAAGAATAAACAGAATTTTGTTGTTGTTTAAAAGTGATATGTTTGCTAGTGTTGGGACAAAATCTAATTTCAGCATAAATATTGTGTTGACCGTTGTTATTTTTGCTATGTCAATAGTAATATACACATGGAGTACTATCAAATATAGTAATAGCTAATTTTTAACCAGAGGGCATTCATATTAACTCAGACGTGAATGAAACTAGAATTGCCACTGCACTTAAATGGTTTAAAAAAGTAATATTCTCAGAAACAGGGACCAAAAAGCAGAGCATGGTTTGGACCCTTATGCCATCAGCACATGTACTGAAGTGGAAGACAAGCTGGTGAGCAGCTGTACAGAAACCTGTGGACTGCACTCCCAAATGGAGCTATGTGCCTTTACAGATCTTGGCCTGACCAAACTGAGCTAATTAGTCTGGCTTTAAGCAGGAGCTTGGGCTAGATGACCTCCAGAGGTCCTTTCTGACCTAAATTATGGTATGTTTTTATGGCTGAGGAGTCAATAGGTGATTTTCCACAGGTGATAGACATGCCCTTATGTGTTCAGATCTCCCCTGGAGTTCTGCCCAGGTTGAAAACAGCTTCCTGCACCCCTCCCCTTTCTTTATTCCTTGCAAATACAGCTCATATAAACAGGAATCAACAAGGACACTTCGTGTGAGTAAGCATATATGATGCCTATAGTTCATCTTTCTTGCCGACTAAGACTAAATGTGACAGCACCCACAAAACTTCTAGGGTAGAGAAGGAGTTCAGAATAAATAATCTTTAATGAAGGTCTTGGGGGATACCATGATGCCAACCCAAGAGGGAGGAAAATTGTACAAGCACAAAACCTCTAGAGGTGAAATCCTGTGGTGTAACCATGTACAAAATCGCTGTTACTGTCTTGCATGAATAGATACATTTAGTCCTTTGGTCCACAAGCCTACACATCTCAAACAGCAGTAAACCTAATCCTGCAGATATATTTGAGGGAAAAGAACAAGAATTTTGGCTCATTGAGGAAGTTCAGCCCTTTCAGAGGGAGAAGGACATACGGTTTTGTTGTTTCACTACCTATTGCTTTTTAGTCGTCCATGATCACCATTTCTCAGCTGGGATGCTGCAGTGCTGTCATTAATAATAGAATTGGAACATGGATGTTTCTACTCTCTTGTCCTCTGTTTTTGCCAAGCTCTTCATTTCCAGACTGCTGCCTGATAACTTGCATGTTTATTTGTTGCTGCTGGGGCTTTGGGGAGGGCGAGACAACATTAGATACAAAGATTGTTCCTCCAAGACAATGATAAATACAGATACTCTTAGCTCAAACATGAGCAGAAAGTAATGGATTTTGTCACTTTGTGTTTCACAGCCATTTCAGACCCCAAAGTGGAGGCTAAGCTTATACCCCATCCAGAGAAAGCTGAGGGCTCTGAGAAAGTGGTGGGGATGAGCTGCTCAGCAACAGGGAAACCAGCTCCAAAAATCAGCTGGCGCCTTCCCAGCATCCTGCAGCAGAAACCGAGGGAGTACCATGTCAAGCTTGGCAACCAGACTGTGACTGTTATCAGCAATTTCACCCACACACACTCCAAAATCCTCCAGGAATACCCCATCGCCTGCGTGATCCAACACCCCTCTCTAAACGTGACACTGGTCCTGCCCACGGACAGCCTGGCACAGGGTCAGTATGTAATCCCCTGTTCCTGCTGTGGAGTGGGGAGGATACCGCAAAACACCTCCTGGGGTAGATCAGGAAACTCCTCAGAGGGTTGGGGACACATTGGAAAGGCACCTGGAAGAGCCACTAGGATTGGGCTTGGGAGGGGTGGAGAAGGTGCAGGGGAGCATCCAGACACCCTGGGCAATGGCATACAAGGTCTCACCGCTCATGGGGTCCCCTACATGCTATGATGTCCCCCAGCTTCCCTGCCTCTGCCAAGGGCTCACAGGGTTTCCCTGTCGTGTAGTCTGACACACCAACCATGCCTGCTTTGGGTAGCTCAGAGGGGATGGGTGCCACACACCCAGCCGCAGCATCAGACCCCAAGCACAGGTCTGCTGGCAGTGCTGCTCATGTGCGTGCTCGTATGTGCTCCCAGTGCCCCTATCCACCTCGTCCCACGCTGGGGATGGGCCAAGGGATTTCTGAAGTGGATTTGGGGTTGTTTTATTTTCTTCACGCACAGATTACCTGCTGCTTTCCCCACAGGTCCAGACAGCAGTGTGGCACCAGCCATTGTCATTGCAGTGGGGGTGCTGGTGCCCCTGGCTTCCCTCCTCCTTCTCACCTGCCTCCTCTGCTGCTGCCTCAGGCACCTACGTGACCCAGAGAGAAACCCAGCCTGGCCATGCTGGGTAGGTCTGCCTTTCCCCAGGGTGCTGCAGGGCTCACCCCCACCGGTCATGGGGCTCAACGCTGAGACCCAGCTCTTCCCAGCCACCCCAGGGCTGGCTGCATGCTGCCCAGCCCAGGCTGCACCTGGGTCGGAGAGGGACAAAGAGATAGGCCCCCAGACAGAGGGCTGGGTGGCAGCACACTGGGAAGGGGAAAGCTGAATGTACTTAGCCAGGCCCATAGGTGTCCAACAGTGATGACAGCTAGAAAACATTCACTTTTTCTATGACAAGGCATGCTGCGGGGGAAGCATTGCTCTGTTACTATATTTATGCACAAAACAGTTGTTCAAGCAGTGGCTGTGCCCTTGCACCATTCTTCTGCATCTCCTAAAATAAGCTCCCTCCAGCACGGCCAGTGCAGCTCACAGAGGAAGAAGCTTCGAGGATGCGTCTAAACAAAATGGGGTCTTAGAGGAAGAGCATGCCTCTGTGAGGAAAGCCCAGGGTGCCACGCTGTGGCAGGGGCTGAGATGCTGTGGCAAGGGCTGAGGCGCTGCCAGTGATCCACCAAGGCCATCCTGATGCAGAGAGTAAAGGAAGCAAGCTCAAGGCAGGAGTAAACTGAGTGAGGTGGCATCATTTCAGAAAATCACAGCCCGGTTTTGTGCTGAAGGCATCTCAGACTCCTTGGGGGATATATCTAGAGTGTGCACCCTGACTTTTGATGAGTGTTTTGGAGAAAAAAAAAACAGTGGGAGGAAATGTGATACATGACTCCAATGGGCACCATGCCTCTATGTCCAAGCTGGAGCCTGCTTAGTTTCCCCTCACACAGAGAGACACAAGGACCCATCATGTAACATAAATAGCCTGGATCTTCACCCCTGCACTTAAAACATCTATATATTTTGAAGAAGGAAAAAAAAACCCCAACAACCTCTCTTCTGTTAGGTCCTTCCTGCCTGTACCAAGGCCAAGAAGTGTGAGCAGTATGGAGCTGCGGGCAGCAGGGCTGCAGCAGCGCCCCCCAGCCCCAGCATGCCGCTGAACACCTGAGCAGCTGCCCACCCTACACATGCAAGAAAGAAGCTTCTTACAACGGCACCTTGGGTTTCCAAGTAAATGTGCTGTGACTCACTTCAAGATAAATACGAAAAAGGACAATTCACAATAGATATTTATTTATTTTGTTAAACTAAAATATTCCATTTTGTAGAAAAAAGCTGTGAAGTATTTATTTGAGACTCAGGCTGGCTGTGTAGAACTGCATAATGAAACTCGTATTTTGTATTTTCTGGGGTTTTGAACATTATGTTTATTCCTTTCTGATATTTTAACATTGCAAGCTCAAAACTGGGTGGGGGACTGTCTGAAATAAGGCAGCATTTTGTAGGGGTGCTGGCCTAGGAGGTGTTGCTGATGAGCCAAAGGATCCCCTCGCCAGGATACAGGGTGCAGAATACCCTTGGAGAAGCCTAGCACACTGCTGTGAGCTTTGGGTGTTGAACCTGCTCCCCAAATGGCACGAGAGAGCAGGCCAAGACTGCAGCCAGCCTGAACTTGTAACCCAGGTGCCAGAAGAAACAGGCTTCAAGTCAGGAGTCATCAGGCATGAGGAAGTTGCCAACTCCAACTCCCACCTGCCTTTCTTAGAAAGTAATGCAAAAGCAAAGGACACATAGACATTTCCTTCCCTCTTCTTCTCCTTCTGTGGTTTCCATAGCCCCCTTCTTAATTTCCCCAATCCATCACATCTGCCTTGTGTTTCCAGGTGCCCCACCTGCCTGCGGGAGGCAGTAGGGAAATAAAAGGGCAGTTGTCGGGGCAGTTGATTTTGTGTATGTCATGGTATAGTGGCATGGTGGCAGGTGAGTGCAGTGGGCTAGTAGGAGCGAGGAAGTGGCTGTTGTACGTGGGCAGAGATACACTAGTACAGGGCAACAAGTGTCACCTATTGCTAAAACTCATTGCTTGTAATCTGTAGGTCAGATCTGAGCAGTTCTCCTGTAATTCTATGAATCCCACACTATGCCCACGGATTTTTTCCTTGTAGATCCGTGAAAGGAGAGATGAGCCCACCTACCTGGTGTGGTCTCGTGAGCAGCATGAAGTCAGCCAGTGCAGGCTGTTTCCTCTTCTCGTGGCTTCCTGGAGCAAGTGCATGTCATCTGGTTTTTCCTCACCCATCTGTTTCAAATGTGTATCCCAGATGAATCAGGTCGAGTTGTAGTCAAAAAGCCAAGTAACCTAAAATGAAAGCAAGTGGGTGAGTTGAGAATGAATAAACCCAGTCCTTGTCATAAACCACTTTTTTAGGTTTCCTAATGATTAGTAATAGTGCAGCTGGTGAGTGCGGGGAAAGGGGAACCGGCTGCAACTGTCACAATCAGGAATTTTTTTCCTGAACCCTGTAATTGTCGAAGGAGGAAGCCGCATTTTGTCTAGGCTTTCCCACCACTGCAGCTTAATTTCCTTCTCCTCTGCCCCTCCTCTGAGGGAAGGGTCTGGGAGAGAAGCAAGTTTTCCTCTTGGTCGGTGGTTTGTGAGAGGACAGGGATCAGCCCCTGGCATTCCTCCTGCACGGGCCGTGCAGTGTCAGCCCTCGCTACTCAGCAGGATCCGCACTTGTGCTTCAGGGGGTTTTTGGAGAGGTTTTCTATACTTTTAAAAGAAGGTTTCCAATAAAGTTTAAACTAATAGGTGCTTTTTTAGAGAAGAGAAATTACTCTTTCACAGAAAGAGGGAGTGTGGACATGGGTAATGAAAAGGATTTTCAGAGGGAAGAGAGAAAGGCACAAAGCTGGCAAGAAATCTTTATAAACCCAGGAAGATTGCAGAGATAATGTATTATTATTTTCTACAAACTGATCACCTGGAGTGGGGGAAAACAGGGTTTGCAGTCTTGAAATTATATATTCACGTGTGGCGTTGTAAATTCATTTACTGTTTAGCTGAATGTTGAATTGTGAAAAGCTCTCATAGTTTTCTTCTTATGAGCACTATAGGACTAGAGACCAAGTGAAAGAGGAGGATGTGGTAGCTTACAAACAAAATGCTGTACAAGAAAGGAAGGCGTTATTGATTTATTTGTCTTTCACAGTATCATAATGAGAAGAACAAACGACGTCCAGAGGTGGAACACTTAAAACCAATACATGGATTTGCCTTCATGCTATACAAAGCCAGCTACTAAAATGAAATGCCATAAAAATGACATATGCTAGTGCTGTGGAGTTCAAGTAGCAACGAAATTAATATAAACATACAGACTATGTATAATTAACTGGCTGTTAGCTGGGGAAAAAAAAAGTACAAAGTAGATACCACCTTTCAGGGAACAAAGAAGCACATGACTGAGGGGATCAGAAGGTTTTGCTGTGGGTGAATAACATCCTAACTGTTGCTCTGAGGTTTCTTTGTGATTATCTTGTGCTTGCCTGTTCAGTTATCTCTCTTAACGATTTGGCAGTAATTCTTTGGCAGCTATATTTCAGATGGGCTTATACAGATACTTAGTATTTATTTTAATAAATAGTGTCTAGGCCATGAAATGCTGGAAATTTTGAATGGCTCTTGAGAAGTAAAAATAAAACTGGTAAGAAATTAAAGTGGAATGGACTGCTCTATTTTGCTGCTCCAATATGAGTGATATGAAGTTAACTTTGTAAGTAAATGAAAGCAGAGCATATCTTCAAAGTTTACAGGAATTTTCTGAGCTAATATCGCCACCACCCGAAAAAAAAAAAAAAAAAGTTTTTTTTAAAAAAAGAAAAACCTGCAAAAAGCCTAGGATTTTTGCCTGTGCTGTGGCTGGGCAGTTGTTGTTCTGACCCAATCATGCCTTCAGCCACCTCCTGTCACTGCAACTTTTCCAGCCCCAGGCAACAGTGGTGCCGATGCAGGGCATCATTTTTCCTAACAGATGGAAAGAAGGCAAGCGGGAATGCCATCCCCCCTGCTTGCCTCTTACTTGGGTAAAACTGACTCTAGGTAATGTGTTTCTCTCTGCAAAGCGAACAGGATTATTTAGCCTTCGCCTCTCACTCTGGCATCCCTTAATCTTGACATTAGCCAGCTGGGGTTAAGGTTTTAACTCATGTAGGGCCTTAAGACAGTGTCTTTTTAAACTGTGTATTTTATATTTATATGAATTAGCATATAATAAAGGGTCCTCAGGCCGTATAAAATGTCTAGGTTCCTGTTCTGGCATGCTAGGCTGTTTCAGAGATGTACTGTGTTGGTATTTTCTTTGCCTGGGTACTGGGTTCCTCGTTCTAACAGAACACTAAGATGTAAAGGAATCACCCCAGCAGCTGTGGCTGAAGATGTGATTTTGAAATGGGGCTGAAATGCTACCCTTAGATATTTTACAAGTCACTGGCTGAAATAGGAATAATATTCTTTTTCTGAAACCACTGCTGGCAGAGGAACGGGACTAAATCTACACAGTGAAAAGGAACTTTGTTTTGGTGATAGAAGACTGAAAGCATCATTCATTGTTGCTATGTTGTGTGACCCTGGGGGAATGATTCGTCTACTAAATACCACGCTGGTAAATTTTCTTATGAACTCAGACATGGAAGAAAATATAACCTATTGTTTTTTGTTCAGTTTTCAGCACCGAGCCCTGCAAATTCGCTGAAATAAGAGAATTGCACTAATTGAGTGCGTTTTTCACAAATGAGACTCTTCAAACTAGGCAGATAAAAATCAAGCATATTTTTGTTTTCACTCAGTATACCAGAAATTACTCATATTTTGGAAGTCATACAAAGGGCCTTCTCGTATCTCAGCTGCTTTCATCTTTGCTCATATAAAGCTGTGTGTGAAAGGAGCACTGAACTTTTGTCCAAGCGGTTTGCAGATGAACTCTATTGTAGCCTACTCAGCTTTGAAAAAAGTCACCCGAAATTTCTGGGAAGTCTGAGGGAATCCCTTGTCTAAGACCCATACACAATACAAATGGAGTTTTGACTTCCCTAACTTGTTAGAGGCTGTAGTTCTTAACAACCCTAAGGAAAAGTGAAGAAAAGGCATCTTGTCTAGTAAAAGAGCACTTGAAATTGTACACGAAAAACTAAGATGCAATGAAAAACTTGCAGAAAAAAGCCCTACAGTTTTAGACTAAACATTAGAGATTTAATTTTCATTCAGATTATTTTATTTGATATTATCCTTCAAATAAACTACAGAATGTCCAGCATCTCATCCTAAACACCCAGGGTTGCATTTTAGGCTTAAGGAAACCAATTTGCCTTGAGTCTTCCTTGTCTACAGGAATGCAGCTATTTTCATTTTAGTTGCCCATCAGCCGAGTAAAAATAAATATCTTTATTTTCTACAGGTTTTTCTCTTAATATCAGAACATATGCATAAAGAGAAGAAAAGAAGGAATGTCCTAGTATAGTTTTCTGAAGATCTTTTCATATCTACTTCAGAACAGTTTAATTTTAAGGGTATTAAATGTAGGCTGTCTCCTTTCTAAAAATGATTTATTAATAGAAGCAAGGTGTCAGTTCTCTACTCAATGCCTCAGTATTTATCCACATATATAACTTCAACATTTCTTAAAATCTTTATTGAAAAGATTTCTGGCCACGTCAAGACAATCAGCAAGCATTCCTCAGAGTCCAGCTCAGGCTGCATGGGGAAACCAAGACCTTGCTGCATTACCAATCCTGTAGGCTCCTCTGGGGTGGAAACCTTCTGACTAGTATGCAAAAGAAGGGGGGCCCAATCCTGGGTCACAGGTAGCAACACTCCAGCCTGAAGGAGGGGGTTATGCATCAGGGTCTCCTGTGGGCTCTGGCCCAGCAGAAGGAACTTGTGGTCGCGGTCCAGTTTTAACTCCTCTAGTCTCAAGTTTATGACTCTGTGTGTCATTCTGCTGTGGAACTGGCAGACATGGATTTGGAGGTCAACTTGGAAAAACTGAAGCCAGAAGCTGCCAGGAACAGCACCAATCATCGCTAGCAGGACAGATGTTGTTACTGAAAGGTGAGTGAGAAGGTCTGGGGACCTTCTACTTGATTCTCTACAGCTTCCTTTGTTCCCTTAGCACATTTCTTCTTCCTTTGCTCCTTTTCTGGACCTGATGTTTTACTTTCAACTGATGCAATACCTCTGCTGCAAACAACAGAAAGTTTGTCCTTTGCTTTGCCTTGACCCAGCCACACAGTTTCCCTCTCCTGGTCTGTTTGAGGTTGTTTCCTCTCCCTGATGCTATTCCATCTCATCACACCTTTGAAGATGCTATCCTTTTTCCTGGATTACCCCTTCTCTGCTGGGCACCCCTTGCCCTTCTCCACCAGGGTTTTCACAGGGCTGAGGGGGAGTCAGGGAGGAAGGAGGGAAGGAGAAGGGACCAAGGCAAAAGGGCACACTCAGAGCCTGAGGGGAGGGGAAGGGGTTCTAAATGGAGCTAAATGGGGGAATGATTTCCCCAGGAAATCTTTCAGGCTGGCAATTTGTTAGAAAACAAGTCCTCAGGATTTGGCTGCTTCCAGGAGAAACACTTCTCACAAGATTATCTTTGCAATGAGAATATTATCTGGGATCTATACCACTCTGTGGCAGAGCATTAGCAGACTAATTGGCTTGAGAAGTTTGGCCAGTTTGACAACAAAACCACAAAGGACATGGGCCAAGAACTTCAGGAAAAGGAATTTGAGGAGTGCTTGAAAGCATATGGCTTAAGTGCATGTGCACATGCCCTGTTTACAAAGTCTGTGGAGTTAATTAGTGATGGAAGGTCTCTTTTTTGCCTGTGGGTTGGTGCCCCTGGTGTATGACATGAGACTTCCTACAAGCAATACAGCCAGGGAATGAGAGGGGTACAGCTGGGAGCCAATGCTGCGGGAGGGAAGTGGCACTAAGTATTTCACTATGTACCCCAGCAAGTTTCTGATCAAAAGTATGAAATCCCCATCACTTCCTAACTGAAGTAAACATGCTACCGACAGGAAACAAGGCGGGTGAACCCTTGTGGTGATAACCTGCTGTGTGTTTGCTGGGCTGTCTGCCCCTCTCTCCTCAGCAGCCAGTGTGTCTGGGCTTGCAGCCAGGAGTGAGCCAACATTTCCTTTCCTCCTTCACCATTCCTGGCTGTGACCAGGAGCATGATGCCCCTTGGTCTCCAGCAGAACTGAGAACAAGAAACATTAACCAGCAGAAAGGGAGAGAAAATACAGTGCTATTAAACAGTTGTTGAACTATCTTTCTCTTCACTAGTAATTCTCCTCATTGGCATCAGTAGAAAAAGCAAAACCAAAGCCTGAAATAGACAGTGACACCCAGAAAGTATTCTTTTCAATGTAACCCTGGGGCAATTCTGCAGACTTTAAATTTTTTTTTTTTTTTTAAATTAATTAAGGTCAAACTCTCTGGTACTTACAGTCCAAACATGCTGCTTTATTTGAAAAGTTGAAGGCATTGCAGGGCCTTTGATAAATGCCTGAAAAGAGAAAACCAGCGAGTTTCTTTTTGTGTGCAAAGTTCAGGAGCTGCATAAAATAAAGCCAGGGAGGAGGGATGTGGGAAACAATGTAAGAAGTTGAACAGATTCAGTTTCAATCATCTGACCTGTTGTCAGGGTATTTTAGACATGCAAGTGCCATTTTTGTATGTTGTTATTTTATATGTGAGCAGGTGGGGGCATGTTTTGCCCCACAGCATGCAGTTGGCTGATAGGATCCTTACCCGGATAAAAAAAGCAGTGAGATTCAGAGGGTAAAGGTTGTTGCTGTAATAAAAATACCCAAGCCCATTTTGCTGCCTGGATGATGAAGAGTTTCTAGGAGAGAAGTCAGCACAATATAAGATAATTGCACCAGCCTCCTCTCTCACATGGGAAAGAAACTGAAGATACACCTGCACAAAATCCTTTATGCATGTGACCTTCTACTGGTGCCTGCACCTGGGTCTCCTTTCCCATCTCCAGCCAGGCTCTGGGGACTGATGAGAGAGGAGTGAATCTTCTCTGCTCTATCTACTGTATCTTGGGTGCAAGTTCCACATTGCAGGGATATTTGTATTGGCTGCTAGCTAGTGATGGGTGTTTGCTTGGGGCAGCGAGCTCCTGTCCCCATTATAATTATAATATGCATTGAGTATATATACCTCCACTTGCTCTTTGGCCCTCCTAACCCAGGAAAGTCCTCATGTGACCTCCACAGCATTAGCTGCACCCTCTCTTGTCCTTGCCTTCCCTTTCTTGACTTGAGTTGCTTCTGCAAGAGTCTCCGATGCTTGTTTTTGTTGAGGTTTTTTGGTTTGTCAAGAAAGCACCTGAATTTGGTTTGCAATTCTGAGCCTGGGAAAGGGGACATAAGTGAGTTGCCATGGCTTTCTCTATTATGTGCCATAGAGTTCCGCTGTGGAGCATCACTCAGCAGGCCCCTGGGGGCTCACTCAGAGGGAGTCAGAGGGTGTCAGAGGGTGTCAGAGGGAGGCGGATCCCAAATGCTTCTGCCTGGCTCCTCCCCTGGGGTAAGGCAGCTCCTTCTGCCCAGATCAGAAGTCTGGGAAAGAGGAGACTGAGATGGGAGCCGGCATCGGAGAAGAGAGACAATAAAGCCAGGGAAAAGGAGACAAGCTGAAAATCCCCAATGGACCCTGTGGAAAGGCTCCGACACAATAGGGCACACTGGTTTCCCTTCCCTGCTTTTTGCCTGCAGTGCAAGCTGGTGCTGTGAGGCCCAATGAGAGGCTGGACAGAGCCGCTTCCCCTACCGGAGGTGCCAGGAGGCATGTTCTGGATTACAATTTGCCTTTTTATGAATTAATCTATAAGGTTCAGGGGCAGGGGAATGTAAACCCGTGGAAATTTGTAAGAAATCTAAAACATTATGCTGCCCCTCCTGATGGAAGGAAGAGTCAAATTCATAAAAAGCAGAGATGAACACAGACAGAATGTGTATGGTATTTGCTTCTCATGTTTTCCTGTAAGATAACCTTCTTCCTTTCTTACAGAGAAACCCAGGAAAAATTGTATAAAATATGGCTAGTATCCTTCCATAAATACAGCCAGAAAATTCACATGGTGCTTAATCCCACAGCTGGATTACCGCGTGGCCAGGAGCTGTGCTGTGTGGTTTTACAGCAAACTCCTTGGGCACAGGACCTTGGCCCTTAGCCCAGGAGCACTTTTGCACCCCTGGCTTTCCTTTCTGGAATTACAGCAGATACAGACACATTTGGAGCAGGGAGACTTCAGACAAACCTCCCCTCCGCAGAGACTCCTTCCGTAATCCTATTTCTTGTTTTGGTTGGGGTGAAGCAGTGGCACCTGCAGGTGTCTCCATGCTACCCTCATGGTGGAGAATAATCTCCTGTTCTTGCTTGTGAGTCCTTGCCAGGCCTGGGGAATGAAAGCAACCCTCTCGAGGAGCCCAGGATTGGTGCCCAGCGTGGTGCTCAGCAAGACGTACAGGTGGTGATCCACAGGCAGCGCCTCACTGCCCACCCTTGCTCCCCTGACAAAAAAAAAGGGAGCAGGGGCTGCCGGGGCCTGTGGTCCTTCATTTCTTCCCTCTCTGCCAGCCACCACCCGTGCTTACGAGGAAGATCCCACGTTTACATTTTGCAAGCTGCAAGTCCTGGTGGCACTCACAGTAGAGCTCAGCAGCATGGGGCTAACTAGGGGCAGCACCAAACTTTGCTGGGGAAAAAAATAAAAGGGGTGCTTTTTATTTCCAGCTTTATCAACCGGTGCAGTCGGCAGGGTACAAAGTCGAGCTGGTAACCTGCAGTCAGTTTATGATTGACCAGACTCCCGGGAGGAATGCGCCTGTCTGGGCTGCCCACGCCCTGCCACCACAGCTCTGCTGATTGGCCTCTGAGGAGTCCTTTGAAAAGAAGGCGCAAATTCTTCAACCGTCTCTCTAGGCACGCCAGCCACCCTCTGAGGGATGAGGGGAAAGAGGGTGAGGTTTTCCAACGAATTACTCTGTCCTACGATGCTTGTTCTCTTGCTTTGCTGGGCTGAAATCTGCCTGCTGCTGCACTGTAGAGGTTGCCAGCTGGAAGAGCCAAAAATGGGTGAGTGGAGCATCCTTTCCCTGCACAAGGTTAACTCCGGAACAGCACCAGCCTTTCTTGGCAATCAGAGAGACATAGATGCCATTCATACTGACAAATACTAATTGGTAACTGGAACAGTAGCTAGAAATCTCGGGGCTGGTCAACAGCAAAATCGGGAAATGCAGGTCAAAGACAGCACAGGGCAGTTTGGTTTTGCACTCAAGCTGTATATTCAGCCTGTGTGTATTTCCTTTCTTCGTAAATGTTGCTAAGCTCCTCAGCACAAGGGATGGAGCAGGTTTGTCTTTCCAATGCACACGTCTGGGCAGTGCACACTTCTGCTGGGGCCATTTGCATGGCCTCCCAGTTGCAGGGTGCCTTGGGCTGTACTGCCCCCCAGCCCCCCGCTCCTCTCCAGGCATTAGTGAGAGTGGAGTGAGGATGCTTTCAGGACCGGGACCTGCTTTCGCTAGGTGGTTGCTGTATGTCAGGTCTATAGAGGGTACCTCTGAGATCCTGGTGACAAAAGCGAGCTAAGAGTTAATGCACTGGGAAGAAGCAGGCAGGCAAGCTCGGGGACAGTGTTTGCTGTGCTTGCTAAGGAGCCTGCCTGCCCTCTGTTCCATGCCACCTTCCTCCTCACCACAGGAAATGTACAGCATAGCTAATGATGTGATGGCCACCCATAATACCAAGGTGTCTGAGGTCTCCCAGTGTGCCACACACCCTCATGGCAGAGTTGCTTGCTCCAGTGCTCTGTGAGATGGGAACACTGTGACCGGTTGCTTCAAGGCACTATCGCCTTCCCTGAAAGAATTGCTTTTCCTCTTGCTCTGATTTTGGGGTTTGCTTTTTTCCTAGGTTTGAAGGAAGTAGTGAAATCTGATAGCGTTATTGCAGCAGTCCTTGGAGGAGAGGCAAATTTCTATTGCAATTTCTCGCTCTCGGTGGATGTTTTGCAAGTCACTTGGCAGAAGAGAAATGGGTCTTCCCTCCAGAACATAGCCACCTACAGCCCAAACCACGGGCTGAGGCTGATAGGGTCATTTTGGAAGAAGGCACGTTTCACTAGAGTAACCCTGAAGGCCTCAGCTATCACGCTCCAAAATCTCACATTTGAGGATGAGTCCTATTACAGATGCATTTTCAACGTGTTCCCTCACGGCTCTTTCAGCAAAGATATATGCCTCAACATCCAAAGTAAGTTTTCTACTAACACCTTCTCATTTTCTGGCACTCAGCACAGGTCTGATGTAGTCAGGAGGTGGGTAAGGCATTATCCCCTCCACCGCATGGAGATTTTCCATGCAGCAGCATCTTCTTGGTGGATAGCCTCCAGAATTGCCGCACCTTTCCTCAGAGGAGGTGAAGGTAAATAAGCCAGGAGATGCTTTCAGATAAGAATCCCCATAAAGAGAGGTGCTCTGTCCAGCTTTGACTGTAAACTTGCCACAGAGTATAAAAAGTACCTTCTCTTTTCACTCTCAGCAATTTCTGAGCTAACAGTGGAATATGAATCCCACCTGCCCACCACGGGTCTCCTTACTGCAGTTTGCTCAGCAACAGGAAAGCCTGCCCCAAAAATCACCTGGCTGGATGACGGAGACCTGGATGAGTCCCCTGAAATACACCATCTCCAAAACGCAGATGGAACAGTAACTGTGGCAAACAGACTTACATTCTCTCCCAGGCACCTCCGTGCCTTGGCCTGCCTCCTTGACCACCCACAGGGAAGGAAAATGAAGACCGTTTACCTGGAAAAAGGAAGGGAAGGTAGGCTGTGTTTGCATGAGAGGTGCAGCATATAGCGGGGAGTGCTTAGGAAAAGATGTGCAATTGTGCGTGTGCAGCTTGTACTTGCACAGGTCTCACTAGACATTTTTCTGGGACTTCAGACCTCATGCTAGATGAAGATTTCATTATTTGAAACCATCCAGAAGACTACTTCCTGTGATACCTTTTTGTCTGTGTGGTGGGTGCGTGCATATATATAAATATGTTAATAATAAATACATAGATTTGTGTGTACATATGTATATATGTCTCTGTATGTTTATGTTTCTACATAGTCACTGATTTAGAGCAGATGTGATCAGCTCTCCAGCAGTATCCTCAGTTGGAGGGTACCAGTAGAGCAGGCCCCTGGCTGTTGGGTGCTGGGGAACAATATTTCACATGGAAGATCTTGCAGGAGGGTATGTCTCAGGAAGGATGGGAGACTTTCCTCATGATAAAATTTAATCATACAGAAAGAGAAACACAAATAGACCAGGAGTAAAAATGCTGGGTTTTGATTCCTCCAATACCAGGGAAATGTGAAACATTATCAGTATTTATTTTAAAAATAAAATAATTCTTTGCCTATTACACTGTTCCTTTTCTTCTTCAAAGAATGAATGAGCACAAACTGATAAATATTTCACTTCAGCCCCCACCTCAGGAAGAGAACATGAGAAACACGTTGACATCCCTTTATGTCCCAGAACTTACAGGTTTCTTTTTGTAGGTATTCAGAAGAGCACAATTATCATGGCGGTCTTAATAGCTGTGATGTCCTTAACAATCTTGATATATTGCATCATGAAAACAGTCAACACAAAAAGGAAAAAGTAAGAATAAATTCAATTTTCTTGCAAATGTCATGGCTTGCCTATGTTCACCTTGCAGTTTCCCTTTCTGTTTCCTGTTGGTGGAAACTTATCCAGTTGGTAACAGCAATTTTAAAGTAGCAAGATTTGCTCTAAATGCCAAGAGGTTTCTAAGCATTATGTGACTAGTTAACTTATTTTTTTTTCAGACCAAAGAGACATAGTACATCCAGAACATCTGAAAAGGAGAAAGGCTTACACCAAGACCTAAGCGAGAAAGCTGTGAGCCTGCACACATCGAAGGACCAGCACCTTGCTTATCAAAATGAGGTAATGCAAACACTCAAGGCTTCCAGTAATTATTCATATCATTCAAAAGCCTTGGCAACATTTACCAGGAACATGACAAACCCCTTCCATCGAGAGCTGGGGCCCACTCCTGCTTCCATGCGACAACCATACCAGGTAGATGACAGCATACGTGCCTCATCTAACCTCTAGCAATGCTGGGGAAGGCCTGGAGTGTGAATGAGAAAAGTTAGTCAATGGTTAGGTGGAAGGGCATGGAAGAGGTACTGGAACTGCCCAGGAGGTGCAGACAGCATGTCCCTTTTGGACAAAAGCTAGGGAGTGCTACAAAGCTTGGGCACTGTAGTTTCCCCGTAAAAGTCTGCCCTGCCCCACTTGTCACACAGTCATGAAGGTGCTCTCGAGGGCTGGTGGCATCCACAGACAAAATCAGTTAAGTGACCACAGCTGGGAGTCACCCACTAGCCACTTTCCTCTGACCTCCCTCCAGTTCCTTGCAAGGTTTTGCTAATCCTGTGCTGTGAATGAGAGGCCTCTTGTCTTCTCATCACTTCTCTCTGCCAGATAATGTAAAAATGTGTTGTCATTACCATGCCACTGTGCTGGGTCTTTTGCAGGAGCAGACACCAGGCTCTTCACTTTGTAAAATGCTACCAGGTCTGAAGAGAAACCTAAGAGAGAAAAAAAGTTGCAGGCACTTATTTTCAGAGGAAGTGGAGAACCTGAACAGCAACATCCATGGTGAGTTTGAGAGGGGACCTGTTGCATTGTGCATCAAGGAACTTGGATGCACACCCACGAAGGAGGACAGAGAGGTAACAGAAGATGGAGGAGTCCAAATAACACCCCAGCTGAGCACAAGAAGGAGAGACATCAGCCCTCAAGAGGTGCACCTCCACAAGTCCAGAGGAGCACAGGAATGCAAGGGCAGGTGGGGAATCCAAACTAAGGACTCAGAAGAAGAGACACCTTGCCCAGGCCCCTCCCAGGGATGTCCCAGGAGATCCTCAGCCCTAGGGTCCACGTGTGAAACCCATCCAGATGAGTTATCAGTGGAGCACCTTTTGAACTGTGGGGGGGCCACTGCCTAAAGGGGTATGGACACATGATGGGATGCAATGG